ATTTGATCGAATCAAATCAAATATAAATTTGTATTTGTATTTGATTTGATTTTCAAATCAAATATTCAAATATCAAAGCCTGAATGATCACGTCACTTTTTCAAGAGTGGATTCAGAAATTTGATCACCAAATTGGTCTAAAGTATCAAGGCTAATGCATATTACTCTTTCTTGATAACTATTCTAGCTATAAGTTAGTCAGCCTTACTTTACAATATACTGACATTCATTTTTTACCACCGAATATAACCTCAAAAATCCAACTGATGGATTCCAGAATTATTATGATGTTTAAAAGGCATTGTCACCGTTTTCATATACGATAAGGTATATCTACAAATAAAGTTATTATATATTATACTCTAAATATATTATAAGTGCTTAAAATTTAATTACTTACTTTTTTAAAAGCTTAATACTTCAATATAAGGAGGCAGGTAGCCGCGCGAAAGACTTACGCATGGATGTCTTGCAGGCTATTTGTTTTATTGTCCAAGTCTGGGATGAGGTTAACATCAATACAGTTCGTAACTGCTGGTGTCATACAAAGATTCTTCCCACCCATATTAATGCAGACACAGATTTAAGAGATATTTCAAAGAATGAAGGTTCAGTACTTGATGATTTTGCGGATATACTTCAAGCCCTTAATTTTTCTAATAAGATGCAGTTAGAAGAGTATCTTAACATTCCTGAAAAGGATATTATTTATGAAGTTCCTAATGATGATCAAATTATTGAAGAGCTTGTGTATCTTTTTAAGAATACTGATGAGAAAAGTGTGGACTTAGAAGAAATGGATGACAGTCGTAAAGTTCCTGTTATTGATACTGATACTGCAGTGGCTAGTTTGTAAACTGTATATATGTATGTACCTACTTCAGCAGAATAATGCAAAAAAATACATAAAGTTAGTGAAAAAATTGAAAAATTCTTCAAATTTAAAAAAAACAAACTCAATACAGCAATCTAACATTAACGCATATTTTGTTAAAAGTGATACTTAGCATAATACGAAATTTTGAAATTTAAAAAAATTTTTTAAATAAAATGCATATTGGATCATGATTTTGTGTAACTGCATCTATTTTTCTATTGGCTATTCTATAAATGCACACCCTCCATAAATGCATATTTATACTCAGTCCTAAATACGTGCATTTATAAAGGTGTTACTGTAGACCTTTTTTATTTTCTTGTGAAATAGCTAAAAATCCATTAGAAAATATGGCTGTGATACTTCTGTAGTCATAGTTTTCATTGACGAATTCATATTAATTGCAAGCTGTAAAATGTTAGGATTTGCACACAACCATGAATAAAGTTGATATATTGTCATTTCGTTAAATGATAATAGAATGATTTCCTCAACTGTATTGAAATTCATCACATTTTGAGTCAAAGTTGTATTGTTAGAAATGTTCAACTTATTATCTTTTGGTCTTAATAGTGTTAGTCTTGAAAGTACAGTTCTGTTTGAAGGGATGTAACCAAATGGACTATTTACTCTTGATATTGATGGTCTAATACTATTTGAAGGCATATGGGAGCTTTGCAATAGAAAGAAAGGAAACTCTAAAAAAATTAAAATTTTACTTTCTAAGATAATTATGATTTTTTTTGTAAAATAAGTTCAGATTTAACATTAACTCAAATAAAAATTTTTTTAAAGTTTTCTCCTTTTCTATTGCAAAGCTTTCATATAGTCAAATATGCCTTTTTCTGACATTATTCTTGAGTTTCTATTTGAAAAAATCAAATTTGTTTCTTGATAAATAATCAGTTGGACTATTTTTCCTTGATAATATTCTTGAAGGTGTCACTGATCGATTTGAAGGTATATAGTCATTTAGACCAGATCCCGAATCATGAGTTTTTAAAGGTGTCACTCGATTCACTGATCGATTTGATATATAGTCATTTGAAATGCAACTACCAGATCTTTAATCATGAGTTCTTGAAGGTGTCACTCAATTCACTAATAGATTTGAAGGTGGATCATGAGTTCTTGAAGATGTTTAATTCAAAAGAATATTATTCAGAGTTTGTTTATTAGATATTGAATCATAAGATAACATTCTTGAAGGTGTTGTTTTGGTTAAGTCATTTGGTCTTGAATTTTGATTAGTTTCTACTTCTGCAGCTTCTTCATCATCACTTAGACCATTATAATTATCGTTAAGACTATTATTATCATCATTTTAACTATTATCATTATCTTGACTATCATCATCGTCATGACTATCATCATTATCTTGATCATCATCATCATTTTGACCATTGTTTTAACTATCACCATCGTCTTGATAATTACCATCATTAAGAATATTATTATTATTATCATCTTTCAAAAGTTCATTAATTATTTGTGATGATAGAGGTTTATCTGTTTCTTTTTGTTTTTCTTACTTTTACTTGGTGGATTATCAATATTATCATTATGTTCATTTAAGTGTTTTTTCTTACTTTTACTTTGAAATACATTATCATTGGTATTAGTTAAAAATTTATCAAGATCATCATCTGAAATAACTATTTCTTCTTTTTTCTTATGGCCTATTTTATTTGTATTTGTAGTTATATTTCTTAGAAGATCTCATGGACATCATGGTTTTTTGAGAAAGTGGTAAAAAAGATATTTTTTTTATTTAATTCGTATAATAAGATTTCTTAAAAGATTATTTTTCTCTTAATTCAGATTATAATAAACTTTCAATTGATTGTTTAACATATTTATCTCACTCTTTTATTCTTATAATTATCTTACCTAACTTTATCAATAAACTTTACAAACTTTTTTATGTATGATGATTATTACAATTATTTATCTTAAGTTAGCAATAAATACAACATTCATTACATAAAGTGAAATAAAAATGACGTAAAGATTATTTATGTGTGAAATTTAATACAATATTATATCATACAAAATTGTTTATGTGTAAAAAAAGTAATTAAGAATTTTTTTTTTGTAAAATAAATAAGAAAGGAATTTAGTTACTGAAAATTTTATCAATTCAAAAAATTTATAAATAAACGAAAATATTTTCTCATTTTTCACATAACAAATATTCTTTTATGTCACAAATGTTTTGCAACCGCTATACCTCTTTAAAATACTGTGAAAATTATATTAGAAACCCATATAATATATTTAACATGTCTTTAAACACTAAAATAAATGGTAAATATTTTTTTTAGTAAAAGAAATGATGCAGTATTTTGATCATTTATAAATAATGTCTTTAATAATAATAGATAACTGCACTAAAATAGAACATGATAATAAAGATAATGAAAAAAATAATGAAAGTGATAGTAAAAATAACGAAAGTGATAATAGAAACAATGAAGTATCAGATAAAAATTATGAAATATAAGGCAATTATAAAGCTTCAAATCATGAAGAATTACATATTGACGAAGTTTTAAACAAAGAAACTGGTAATAAAGTTTCAAATGAAAAAGAATTCAATAAGGTTCTTAATGAAGAATCTGTTGACGAAGCATCAAATATAGATAATGATGATAAGGTGTTTATTGAAGAAGAAACTGGTAATAGAACTTTAAACGTAAAAGGAACTGATGGTGAAGTATTTGAAAAAGAAACTAATGATGAGATATTCAAAGAAGAAACTGATGATGAGATATTCGATGAATATGAAATCTTCAACTAAGAAGAAACTAATGATGAAGAAAATGTTAGCAATGAAGCATCAAATGCAGAAGAATCTAATAAAATTGTTGATAGTGTCTTAAATAATGAGCAAATGCCACTTATTAATGGAGAGTTTGCATCATATTTTAAAAACATTACCGAAGTTTTAATGTTTTGCTAGATCCAAAAGCATAACATATGTAAGTTTTCTATAACCTTTTTAATTATTTTTTTTTTTACGATGTAGCATTGCCAGTAACTTTATTAATTATAAAAGAAATATAAAGGTAAAACTAACATAAGAAAAAAGAAAAGTACTAGCTATCTCCCGTGATTATATTACAAACCCATTTGAATCGACCAATCATCATCTTTTCCCTTCAACAAACCCACTAAATGTATATCTAATAACTACCGTTTTCATCAAGAAAAGAAAAAGAAAAGAGTCAGTGCCTATCTAAAAATCTGAAAATGAGTTACCATATTTGTTTGCCATGTGAATCCATGTTTCCCAAGCACTAGGTACATGATTATCAGTTGAGTGAACAAGTGCAGAAGTCACGCCTTTTTTAAATTTAACCTTTTTAGAAATGCCTAAAGAATTTTCTTTTACTATCATGAGTTGGCATCTATGTTTTCAAACTTTTTCGAAAATTTCTTTGAAGAAGAATGTCGCAAGTTGAGTGACAATCAAAAACACTTTGATTTGTTGCAAGTGATGATGTGAACAAGATTCACCAATGAAGAAGGAATGTAAAGTTTAATAATATTAATGTATCCATCATTGCTTGAAGAAGGCAAGGCAAAGATGTTATCAAAGAGATCTAAAAGTTCAGGAAGAAAAGAAGAATCTTTGAAACCTGGGAATTGAAGGAGCAGGTTGACGAGGTGTGTTTTTGTGAATAAGATAATATCGGTTAATATTGAAGAATAAGCAGGACACGTCCAAAGATGTGTAGCTGTTTCAGATACCATGTTGCTGCTAATGCAATTCCAATTCTTATATAGGTCGGGGCACAATCTTTCCATTCTATAAAGTACAGGAAGTTCATCAACAAAGTTTTTTATCATGAAGGTCTTAAGACGAGTATCTGTGAATGATGTGATCATAGGCAATGAATCTAATGAAAGGATGTTCCAAATGGAGAACCAATTAATATCATTAGAGCTTGTAAGGAATCTAAGATCTCGGTTTCTATGTAGAGAAAGGAAGTCTCCAAACTGTTGAGCATTGAAAAGGTTTTTAAAGAATTTTCTAATTGAAGATTCAATATTGACAGCTTGGAAGCACATAGTGAGATTTCTAACTCCTAATCCAGTTAAAGCAGGATTGATTGGAGGGTGAGAGCGACCACTTTTTGCGAGAGAGTCGGCAATGTCATTTAAGGTATTATCATCATATGCTTTAACTTTGTGCAAATTGACGTCAAGAGCCAGAGTATCAACAATATATTGAACCAGGCTCCAAATAGTATAATTAGGAATCTTTTTAAGTGATCGGTTAGAGAGATTGCAATTGGTAATGATGGAGTGAAAGCCATGAATCAACGCTTGACTGTCAGTATAAATGTGAATTACTGCTGATTCAGGAGATATAAGAAGAGCAGTTATTAGAGCAAATAATTCAGCTCGAGTAGATAAAGTCCAATTTTCAATAGACGCTTCAAACTGGTGATAATTAGAATTGGCGTCGATACAAATCCAACCAATGCCCATTTTGCAAAGCTCAAACAAATTAAAGAACCATCTGAATAAAAATTAAGAATATCGGAGGTGGATAGTGCAGCTTGGAGTGAAGAAAGTGTGTGAAGATGTGGTGAAGAAGAAAGAATGGAATATAGGATGTTGATGGATGCAGATGGTAAGGGTGGAGAAGTTGGTAAGTTATAAAACAAATTAAATGCAATCTGAGAGAGTTCAATTAAGAAATATTTAAGTCTCCTTCTTTCTATATTAGGTGATTTTTATAGTACATCAACTCGAAAAACTCTGTCTGATTGAATTCTAAAAGTGCAGCAATTATTTGAGCCAATAGTCGTAAAGGCATCGCATCCAGTGCATTTAATGAGAGAAGTGCTATGATCATTATTTCTACTGGCAGTAAGGTGAGAATATATAAACCAGCCAGGACTCGAAAGTTTATCAAAAATTTGTCCAAAGGAAATGGTATTCAAAATCGGATTCCAGGAGGCAATGAATTCTTTTCTATAATTGACTAGAATTGAGGTGACAGCTAAATGTTTATAAATAGGTAAAGGATGGTCTAATCTAAATTCTGATTTAAGTAATCTATTGCTAATATTGTCTAAACTAGTGCTTCTAAGTTCATAAAAATCTAGAATTACTCATGCTTGACATATGATGATCATAATTTCTAAGAAACAAATCAGATTTATCTATAAGAGATTGACCAGTAGCATCGGTAAGTTGATCTAAATAAATAAGATTGTGTTGTTAGAGAAAGTTAGTATATTTAAAAAATAGGTTGACAGGAATAATGGTTGATAATGGAATGTGCCTTCCTTTGATACGATTAATTAGAGTAGGAGAGGGGTAAAGGATAAATGTGAAGATGAAGATTTAATAAGAGACAAGGAAACACCGATAAGATTATGATAGGAATAGCGATTAAAGGTTTGAGTCCAAGAGTGTAAGGGAGAAGTCGCCAAACAATATCGAGATTGTAGTTGAAATAAACAGATAGTAGAAATGTGTTCATAAAGGGAATTATTATTAAATTGATTTAGGAGAGTGCAAGAAAGAGACTTAATTTGCAATGACCAAAGATCATTCAAGTTATAAAACTTTTGGAAATTTAAAAGAACATTTGGAAGTGTTATGGCAAACTTATTTTTTTTTTAAATAAGGAATGAATTGGTGTGAAGAATTTGTCACATTCGATCTTTGAAAGAGCGGTGAGTTGGATACGATATTCAATGAGAGGACAAAGAACCATATTAATAATATACACGAACTGTTTATCAGTAATAG